CTTGGTTTTTGGGAGGTTGCGTGGGGGACGACGATGAATACATACGTCTCTAATCACTCGAAATAAGCTTTCACTCCGTCCACTACTCGCTAGAGACTTCTGCGAATGTTACTATTCTGCCGTGCACGGTTGAATACAAGTACCGACACACTGATACGGTGAAGGTTTGGTGGATATCTTTGATTGCTGGTTTTGGGGGGGTTGCGTGGGTGGTGCCGATAAATACACACGTCCACTTGAGGACGCCTTTGACTTCGTTCACTACTCCCTAGTGACTTGTACGAAGATATCCATAGCGCAGTTTGCGGTTGAATACAAACGCGTCGGTATTTAATCGTGGACCGCACAATGGATACGCTCGCACAAGCCATCCAGCAGGGAATGGGCGGAGTCAAAGGCTTCTTCAAGTGAGCGACGTTTATATTGGTCGTTAGCACCATCACAACCTCCCCAAAACCAACCATAAAATATGCTAAACAGACGTACTTCTATGAGACGATGACTACATACGTCTCCCATGACTGATAAGAAACCTTTGACTGCCTTCAATACTGCCCATGACGTCTACGAAGGTATCCATTGTGCAGCTCACGTTTGAATACAAGTATCCAAACGCTGATGGTGTTATTTTTGTGGGCATCTTCAATTCGTGGTTTTGGGGAGGCGAAGTGGAGATGGTGACCGTGACTACATGCGTCTCTTTCCACTTCAAGCCCTTGACTCCGTCTACTATTCCTTGGTGAGTTCCACCAAGATATCCGTTGTGCAGCTCACCGATGAATACAAACGCAGTTGTTTTCAACGGTGGACCGCACACAGTGGACACATTGAAATACGTCATCCAGCAGGTAATGAGCGAAGTCAAAGGCTTCTTCAAGTGGAGAGAGACGTATGTCTTCACCGTCACCATCTACGCAACCTCCCAAAAAACCAAGAATTAACGATGTCAAACAACAGTACATGATAGTAGACGATTTCGGAACGCAGACGACAACGTATAGATAGAAGGAAGCGACTTCTAGATTCAGGAAGAACGATCGTTCCGGGAATTTTAGTTTTTGTGGAGACCACCGAGTTGAACGCGGCAAAAAAAAACAAGCCGGGGCGGCCACAGCGGCAGTACAAAACAAAAAACAAGGACAGCTGCTGCATGGAAGCATGACGTCATATGTCGCCCGACACGGCGGCGGTGCGCTCTGCATTCTGCAACAACACTTCAAAGCAGGCTGTTGGTGAGGAAATTGACACAGACCACGCAGGTAGTGGAGGGGCTACACCAGGTCAATCAACTTGGAAGAGTGAGAGATAGACATACCTTTTTTTCTACGAGAGAGGACGTAGAGAGAGAGAGGGAGAGCTTCAGCAGCAAGCAGCAAGAGAGGACGCCTCGTTAAATGGTACAGGTCATCATCGAGCTTGTGGAGATAGGCGCGCTGCTTGCTGTGCGTGCATTCAGTTCGTGTGTAGACAAGTTTGATCTTGTTCTTTCTCCGCCTGGTGTTTCTTCATCTATCGCCCAGCAACAACCCAGCAGCAAAAACAGAAAGTCGATGATCAAACACACGCTTGCTTATTTTCTTGGAATGCTCCACACCCCACGACCGCACATGCAACACGCAAAGCAACCGCCAGATAGATGTAGGTCTGGACTTCGTTGGCAGCGATGTAGTCCACGCAGCAGCACTTTCCGTGGTGCCCGGAGTTTGATTACTACATCAGGCTATCCCACTACTACGTTACTGCTGCTGTCGTGGTGGTGGGTCTTTGCTTGCTCGTCCTAAATCTATTTCGACTCCTGAAAGAAGCTTTTTGATGTAGGAAAAAGAGGCGCAACGGCATTCCACGACTCTTGCCATTTACACGACTCTTCATCATGCATTCCACGACACATGACAGCATCACACATCATCTTTCAAGCGCCACCAGACTCTCAAAAAGCGCCTCCTGACTCACCCCGATGACAAACCGTATTCCACGACCTTTGCCGTTTACGCGACTCTTCACCGCGCATTCCACGACACATTCAACAGCATCACAGATACTCTTTCAAGCGCCACCAGACTCTCAATAAGCGGCTCTTTACTCACCCCGATGACGAACGGCATTTCACGACTGACTCCTCAGGGATGCCACGACCCTAATAAACCGTTCATCACTCTCAAAGCGTTACACGGCCCCTAACAGCCTCACACATACCCTTCGAAGCGCCGCCAGACTCTATTTAGCGAGAAAATGACTCACCCCGATGACGAACGGCATGGGCGCGGACACGTACTCGAGCATGTCGGTCGGCAGGAGGGGAATGAAGACGTGCTGCCACGCGAAGGGGTAGAGCATCGCCATGGCGGCGTGCACGCAGCACGACAGAGTCCGGACCTTGTCCGCCACCAGCAGCACTCGCCTCTCGCAAAGGATGGCCGACCACAGGCGGAGGAAGTTACGGGGGCCCAGTCGTACCTGCGGTGAAATAGCGGGGCCCCCTATCGTTAGGACAAGTATTGATGGTGTTGATGTGTGTACATGGGAAATCACTTTGTCTTATGGTACGGGAGGTTGTGGGCTTCAAGGGCAAAGGTTTGCTTTGATTTTTTCGGCGTTATCGTGGGTTGCTGGTGCTAGTTTGATGACTCCACAGAGTAAATCGCTCCATCCTCTTGCTGTTAGTTTGATGCCTCCGCATCGTAAATCGTTCCATCCTCTAGCCATCGGGGGGTTGGGCTTCTAGAGTAGCGGTGAAGCAGAGGCCTCACGCCTTGTGGGCATCTAGGTGAACAGATTGCATAAAGGTTTTTCCGTATCCGTGGTGGGTTGTTGGTGATATTTTGAAGTCCTCACAAGGCGAATCGCTTCGCCCTCTATCCAACACGTACAGTAGCACGTCTCTTTTCCCAGAAGCAACAACATTGCCACAACAGAGCATCTCTAGGTTTGATAATGAATCCCCTGTAGGAGCACATGCAACAGCAACAGCAGCGGTAGTAGTCCGCTGAAGCAGCAACGGCAGCGGCAACAGCAGCAGCAGCAGCAGCAGCAGCAGCAACACATAACACACAGCATACAAAAATACTACACACAACACCAACAACATCAACATCAAAAACGACAACAACAACGACCACCAGCACCAGCACCAGTACCAACAACAAACAGCGTTATCAGCAGAGGGGCAACAGGAACGCTGTTGACGCTCATGTGCTCGCAACAACAACAACACCAACACCAGCACCACCACCAACAACAACCACAACGACCACCAACAGCAACAGCAACAAACACCACGAGCAACAGTGTAAAAAAACACAACAACTCACCAGCAGAGGGACAACAGGGACGTCGTTAAGGCTCATGTGCTCGTCCACCGGCTGCACGAAGCGCAGCCCACTCGCCACCAGCTCCTGCCCGGGGCCAGGCACGCCCCCTCCCCGCACGCCTCCCGCCAACAGCTCCGCTAGCAAACCCTCCAGCTTGCTGCTGCTGGTTGGCGAGCTACTGCTGTTGTTCCATCTTTGTTGTTGACCGCCCTTTTCACCTGATAAGGGTTCAGGAACACACACGTGTTGGGGTGGAAAGGACCCTCCATTGGCGGTTTCATGTGTTTCCGTTGGTCCATCTCTGTTGCTGGCCGCCGTTTTCACATGCAAGGGACGTATGCTATGAGCACACACGCCTCCAATATGTCGGCCCCCCTCAACAACGCCTGCATGTGCTGTTAAGAGGGACTAGCTCTACTCAACAGAATGACTCGGTGATTCAGTCTGTGCCCAGCAATTTCACCGGCGCTACACAGGGCCACCCGTGCTATCCAACCGGCGATATTGACGCCCCCTCACTGCTGTATGCAAATTCAAAAGGGACGATTGGCCATCGGTGAGCGGTCTAGTGTGGGAACAATGTTCCATCCTCTCGAGGACGCGTGGCCAGTGGTCTAACCGCTAAGGCATGCAAAACATAAGAGTACGCCGTGAGACCAATCCCCCCCAATCGGCCAAGAAGAAGAGCAACGAGCGCGGCGCCTTTCATCCGAGGTGATCACACCATTCATTGCCGAAGATACTCAAGGAAATTAAAACCACCGTGGACAGCAAAGACCACAAAGGACAATAAAGACGGAAATTTACACGAAATTTGGCATCCTTTGATGACTTCACTTTGTGTCGGGTGTGCCTGTTGAAAGGCTAAGACAACTATACCTAAATGCCCAAAGCACCACAGGCTACGACGGCATTCGGAACAAAAATCTGCCGTCTTTTCATCACGCCACCTTCTGTCGGCTACATGCCTGCCGAAGGTCTATGACCATGAAGGACAGTCTTTCGCATCGCCACCTTTTCTCGGCTGTGCCTGCCGAAGGACTAAGACCATCAAGGACAGTCTTTCACGTCGTCACCTTGTGTCGGGTGTGCCTGCTGGAGCAGCCGGAGGGCCTGCCCCGCCGCGAGCACGCTGTTGAAGATGCCGAAGAAGGGCCTTCGGCTGACCAGGCAAAGGCATTCGGGCAACCGCCACCGTCCGACGTCGTATCTGATGCCGTATCGTTTGACAGCAGCACTGTTCAGTTCGACTGGGTTAACTAAAGTTCCAACTGGGATAAGTTCAACTCGATGGACTGCACTAAGTTCGATAGAGTGAAGCTCCAATGGGCTGGGCGAAGAGTTAAGATCGAATAGAATTGTTGCAGCTCAATTCGCCAGGATAAGTGGCGTTGACTCATCGACTGGTTTTAGCGCCGTTCAGTTCTTGTATTTGCAGCCTCCGGGCTATGTACCACAGTTTTTCATCGAAACAGCGCTACAGCACCCTCCGACACCACCAACAACCCTCGACAATTAAAAAATATGGTAGACAAAACAGTCAGGAAAGCTACAGGGGACTACAAATACCACCGTAGCACCGTAAACAGAAGCAGTCCTTAGCGCTACAAGGTGACTTTGCATATCACAGTAGACGGTCGTCCTACTCCACACCTATGGCCACCACTGTATAACCAGAAATCCATGCTACCCGCGACAGGTTTTTCGTCCAAGCAGCACTGCAGAACTCTCCTGCAACACTATCAACACGCAGCGGTTTAGTTCGGCAGAAAAATACAGTCTGGAAAGCTACGGGCGACTAGTGTACTACCTTTCTTTGTGAAGAAACAGTCCGTACGGTAGCGCTGTAGGCGAATATCAACACAACGGTAATGTAGATTCACCCTGTCGTGCTATTGTACAGGCGACTATTATTAATAATACCACAGCAGAAACAGTCATTAATGCGCTGCATACCCGCAACAGTTGACATAACATGTGTAGCAGCGTGTGTTACAATCACCTGCCGCCGGTGCCGCAAGGGAGCACCCTCCTGCAGAACCCGTAAGCCTTAGCTCCTGAGGCATCCGTCACCACGAACACGAACTCTTCCGCCACAAAATTCGCCGGCCTTAGAGACGACCAAAAAAACACAAAACACAAAACACAAAGGACGACCGCAGGGAAGAAAGAGAAACAAAAAAGAAGCGAAATCAGACAAATTTGTAACGTTTTTCAGTGGTAAAAAGTAAAATCATCGGGGATGCATACCTGTGTGTGTGTGGGGGGGGGCGTACTCATTTGTTGCTTGCCGTAGTCATTTGACCATTGACCACGCGTCCCTTTCGAGACGGAGCACCGTTCCTACACCTACTAGAGACACCACCAACATTTGGGAGCTCTTTACGTTTCTGCCACAAACTCCATAAAAATTTCTTGCACATCTTATCCCCGTCCTCTAGGGCCTCTTGTGCCCACCATCTATCCCCAATTATCGCGATCGTTTTTTCGCTGTTGTCTAATTTACCAAACTTGTCCATGTCACACCCTCTCTGTCTCATTTCCTCCTCGAGATCCTCTCTTTCCTTCCTGTACAACTCACACTCCCCAACTATGTGGGGTCTACTCTCCTCCGATTTGCCACATGGACATGTGTGTCTATCCTCCTCTTCCTCTCTCCTACGGCTGGTATACCTCTTCCTCCGTTCTGGCAAGTCCAGATCGCCTACTCGAAATTGCAATTTCAGCTTTTTCGCATAGTCCATGGGGCCGTCCAAGTACTTCTTCATCCCTATCCCTTCTTTCAACTTCCCGTATATCTCCAAGTGGTCTTCGCTTCGTACCTTCTTGCGAAGGGTTGTCTCCTCCCTACTCTCTAGCATCTCCTTGACTTTCGTCTTGAACCCCCCGAACCCTTCCGTGTCCAACGTCTCCTCCTCGTCTCCTATCTCCTTCCAAACCTACTCTACCACCTTGTCCCATCTGATTCCCTTCTTCCCTGGAGTCGCTTTTC